GGTTGACCATGTGCAATTTTCATCACACTGTATATAGGGCAGGGTAATTTATACGGTCGACTTTTGTACTTGAGCGCCCATACTCGAACCGTTTCGCTCTCAACGGGCAAACGAGATGCATGTGTAGTACATTGAATCCGTTCATGCACGATTATGCAGCATGAGGGAAGACTTGAGATTATTATCTTATCTGATGGCGATGGATAACCGCTGCTCACATGACGACACTTGCTTCCTGCCATCATGGTGATCCGATATCAATCATAACGCTTCTTTTCCTGCTATCCTTCGAAAGCCTTTCCGTAAAGCTAACTATGAACTACGATCTCTCGGGAGCCGCCTCCTCTAGAGAGAGCACACTCCTCAACAGTAATGGTCGTACCATACAAACACCCATCCTAGAAGCGAAGACCGCAAGTACCGGGATGTTATATACAGCGTAACGGCAGCTACTCTAGTATCTCTACCATCACCATCTAGCAGATACAGCAGCCGTGGGTCTCCTTTTCACAACGACAGTCCATTAGGCATCGACAAGTTCCTATTGCTCGTAGCGTCGGATGACGTCCAAGCGGTGAAGTCGAGGTAACCCAAAGCGTACCGTAAGGGGGAATAATCTCGGCGTAGGCTGGAGTCGAACTATACTGTGGCAAGAGAACTGATACAAGCCAGAAACTCCAGAGGGAGCACAGCTCTGCATATCGCCTGTAGAGAGGTGGTGTCGTCGCACTCATTCCTGGAGCATCACTCATCGTAGGGGTTCCTGTCGATGGTCACTACACTAGCATCCTGTGGTGCAGAAGTCGAGGCTAGAGATAGAATACGTAACGATTCTGTCGAAACGCTGTGTGACGTTACTCTCAAAAGCACCACTAGATGCGTGATTCGAGAGCGTTGAGATACACGCAGTCTTCAGCCGAACTCCTCTCTCATATCTTCTGAGTATGGGCATTTGAAATCGTGAAGCTGCTACAGTCAGATTCGGAGCAAATGTTGATGCTCG